GATTTTCTACATCACATCAACCTTCTAGTGGTATCTCATTAGAGTTTTATTGTCTTTCTTTCTTAATGATTTGCCCCATTCAAACCTACTCCTGTGGAGTTGATTCCAATTCACAGTGATCCTATATAGCGTTTCTGAGATTCTGACTCTTTGCTAGAGGCAGATTGCGTCAGCTTTCTCTCAAGTAGTGGCTGGTGGGTGAGATCCATGACCAAGCAGCTGAGCATCCCAGAGCCGGACCCAAAGTGCCACCAGGGAGTGATCCTCCAATGACTTGCAGTATTTTTGAATTTATTCTGAATATAAATCCTTTGTTGGGTATAAGGATTGTATTGTAAATTGTCTTCAGCTCTGAGGGCTACCCCTTCACTCTCTTCAGTGTTTTGAGGAACAGAAGTTCTTCATTTTAGTACAGCTCAATTGATGAACTTTTTAAGTGAATAAGGATTTTTGCATACAGTTTCAGAAATCTTTGTGGACTGGGAGATCTCAGTGAAACTCCCATGGTTTCCTCTCAAAACTTTGCTTTACTTTTGACCTTTAGATCTGCTATTCCTCTAGTAGAATTGATTTTTGAGAAGCAACCTTGTGAAAAATGATTTATCTCATCTTCCCAGCTGACTTTTTATAAACCTTAAAAAGAGGGGGAGGGGGGATGCTGGTGGTGGTATTTAATTTCATGGTTGAGAAAATAATGTATCCAGGAATTGGTTGGGTGTAAATACTTATTTACCCTCATGTGATAATTGCAGAGTTAGGACAAAAGCATAAGATTTACAGGGTTCCTGGTTACTAGTTGTTCTGCTAATTTCAAGGTCAGCAGTTCAAAACCACCAGCCATGCCTTGGGGGAGATACAGGGGATTTTCTACTCTGCTTAAGAGTTATAGCCTGGGAAAGCCTTAGGGATGCTCTACCCTGTCCTTTAGGGGCACTGAGTCAGCATCAACTTGATGGCAGTGAGCTTGGTGGTGGTTTTACCATTTGCTAGAACTTGAGTAGGCACTTTGTAAACTAGGCTGGATGAATTTTTGCAGCATTTTTCTAAAAGGTGATGGCATCATCTCTTATGTGCAGATGAAAAAACAGGCTCATCAAGGTAAAGAAACATTGCCAAGCTCACACAGCTAACAGTTGGGCAAAATCCATGGCTCAATGCCAAGTGGGTCTGACTCTATCGCTTCCTTATCTTTCTGTTTGTCCATTTTAAGAGATTCTGCAAAATCTTAATATTGAACTTTCCAATCGCACCTATTTGTTTTAGTTGCTATGTTACATGACCCAGTACTACGTGTTATATACAATCATAAACTGTCGAGCTATGATTGAGATGGATACATGCACTCTTTTCCCCCTTAGGGCAAGTTGAAGGAAACAAGGTGAATCAGCAATCAAGAGATCTCGTAGGGGACAGAGAGGACTGGAGTCGTAATCTGATGCATGAGGAGTTAGGTGCCAAGAGATTCTTGTCAGTGGATGATTATATTTCAAGAGAAACTTTTCCGTGTGGATGTTTAATTTGCCATAGCGCCAGAGAGCATTTTTTAAGGCTCCTGCTGATGTCCGAGCACTAACTAGGACTCCCTGTTGCCTTTAAATGAGCAGTTCAGCGCTTAAACACGGTGCCACCCAGACTCCCTTAAATAAATGTCGGAGGAAAATTCATTTCACGGTCCATTAGAAACAGAAAGGAAATCAATGTTTCCAGCAAATGAAAATGGAAAAATGGTTAGGGAAAGACTTGTTTACAATTATTTATTGTAGAATTCTAGTTTAGCTCCTAAGCCCCTTTTGAATTGTGGGGAGGGTGCTTGTGACAGTATTGGAAAGTTTCTGCTTCAAACAAATAAAAGGTAAAGCGTTGTGCCATGAGGGTGGCATGGTAAGAACCAGCGGACGGCAGTTCTGAGTTGATGACTTTAGAAAGCACTGTCTTTAGCCCTTTCAAAAGTTCGGGAGGCCTCAGTGAAGAAGGCTGAAATGTATCAGTAAACTAATTGGGCTCTGAATAAAAGTTGTCATTTAGGAAAGACTCAGATTTAGAGAAGTAGGTGATTAGATGTGGTCCCCCCTAGAAAACAAACACCCCTTAAGTTGGGGAGGGGCATGTTTGCTGCTCTGTGCTGCTCCTCCATTTGCCTTTTACACCTCCTGGACTGACAGACCTTCATGTATGAGGGCGCTTCAGAAACATTTGTAGTAACATTCTATTTTCATTCCATCTTCCCAGGAACCTTTTGAAGTCCCCGCCTGCAGGCATTTCAATGTTCACATTTTTTCCCTGCTAGCTGTGACTTGCTCTCTCTCACATGTCTTCTCATTATAGCTCCTCCGCCATCACTGAACTTTCTGTGTCGGCCTCTACGAAGAATGCTATTTTGGGCTCTGGACATTTGGTCTGATATGTAGACTATAAGTACCTACCTCCTTACACACAAACACACACACCATTTAAGAAAACAACATAAGTAACAAATGCTTTGGATAGTTCACTAACTTGTTTGATTTATAAAAACTATTGAGGCCCAGAGTTGCAGGAAAATTTATACAAAGTGGGGTTGAACGGTTTTAGTAAGTTAAACAGTGAACCCTTTTAGTAATAAGGAATTCATTTACTGTGACAAATGAAAATAACGTTTTAGTTCTTTAGGGGCAATGATGATGTTATTTTGCTTTAAATAATTAAAAAATGACATTAATCCAAGAAATGAGTGATTCCAAAGGACATTGTCTGACATTAGAGGGAACTATTCTAAGAACATTCTAGGTTTGTTTTGCAAACTTAAAATGATTTGTGACTGTTTAAGTAAACCAAACCAAAATCAAACCCACTGCTTCCTCTTTCTCCTGAGTGGAGGCTGGTGGATTTGAACCACCAATCTTGAGATTAGCAGCACTGTGCTTAACCTACCGTGCCACCAGGGCTTCTTACAATGTAAATAGCTACAGCTTTATGTATGAATGAATATGTACCTATTTGTATAGCTCCGTGTTAACTGCTACAATTAGTTTGAACAATTGTAGAACCTCTGCCTATGAAAGCGATGCAAACCTTTCATTTTTGGCAGTACTTAATCATATCAGGCAGAATAAAAATTTCATTAAGCATTAAAAAATATTTTATAAAAGGAAATTCAGAGTTTATTGTATTGGCCTTTTTCTTTTTGTGTGATATTACTTTTATTACTATTGCTAGCTACAAACTCACTGTGTTAAGTTGATTCTGACTCAGAGTGACCCTGATATTTTACTACATTTGAGAAATTACTGGTTCATTTTAATTAGTTTTTATTTAGAATGTTTACTTCTGAATTGTGGAAGAGCCATAACCTTAGTCATTCATCAAGTCTTTATAATTCTGGTCCCACTGTTTCTTTTCCACCTTCTTCCTGGACTGATAGTTGGGAAATATACAGACTCAAATCAAACTCGCCACCATCCAGTCAGTGCCACGGACTCAGAGCCACCCAGTAGAACAGCATAGAGCTGCCCTGGTGGGTTTCCGAGACTAGTTCTCTGCAGGAGTAGAAGCCCTGGCTTGCAGTTTCGAACTGCTGACCTTGCCCTGCGTGGTCTATCACCACACCGCTGCCTGGGCTCCTGGGAAGTACACAGTGCGCTGCAAAAATGTGTGTGTGTGTGTGTGTGTGTGTGTGTGTGTGTGTGTGTGTGTTTCACTTTTAATTCCATTTTTCTAACTTTCTGAAGGCTCCTTGGACTTTTGTGTTTCTTCTCTGCCACTGTGTTAGCTTGTGGTTCCAAAGGCCTGCCCCAGGCTGGTTTGTTTGTTTTTGTTTCACCTGTGAATGAAAAATCTGTGAATGAAAAAAGTCAGAGAGAGATCCTTTCAGAATCAAGTGAGACCCATGGACACTCAACAAACACTCATTAATAAAAAATGCTACACGTAATTGCAGGACTCTTGGGGGTATTTCCTGAATCCATCCACAGACCCAAGTTTTAGACTCCCCTAGATTAGAGGATTTCTGGGGCAGTGCTAAATTTTCCAGATCTGTAACCTTAGACCTCTGTCCCACACTGCCCTGGTCCTGCTTAGACGCAGCCCTCTTCAAATGCCTGCCTTTGCCTTTTTATTCCTATTCTTTCTTCACCTTTCAAATGTCCTTCCGTGTTCCTTATCCATCTTCACTTGAATGTTCTTTCTTCAAAGCACAACGGGAAAGGCCTTGGATCAGAATTAATCTTCTTCCTAGAACTTGGTACAATGATTCGAGCTCAGTGTCCTCTGTGTTTCCTTCTTCTTCACGCTGCTCCCTTGGTTGCAAATTTCTTGGGGTCAGTTGACTAGTTCCTCTGTCACTTGTAGCGGAATAGTGTCATGCCAGGTGTGGGTATGGAATAAATGCTCACTACATTAATTTGAATTTGTCACTCAGTTGTCATGGTTCATTGTCTGCTGTGTCATGTGCTTAGAGCCCTGGCGGCACCCTGGTGAAGGTTTTGGCTACTAACCGATAAGTCATCAGTGGGACCCACCAGCCTCTCCTTGGAAAAAAGATGTGACAGTCTGCTTCCATCCAGATTTACAGCCCTGGGAGCCCAATGGGAACAGGCCTGCTCTGCCCTATAGGAAGCTACAAGCCCCTTGACAGCAGTGGGGTATAGAAGGACGCCTTCCATCCAAAAAAGAAAAGAAAAGTGATGTGAAATGGAACCATAAAAGGAAAACCTACCTCTGGGGAGATGAACGACAGGAATGAGTACCATTTAGGGAGCATTTTCTGAGGGACAGACGAAGAGAAATGAGAAAAGAATCTGTCCCTGTATTTCATTATATAAGTCGTTTCTTTTCCTTGAGAAAAGAATCTGTACCTGTATTTCATTATATAAGCTGTTTCTCTCCTTGAGAAAAGAATCTGTCCCTGTATTTCATTATATAAGCCGTTTCTCTCCCTTGAGAAGAAATCACCAGGTAAATTTAGTTTTAAAATTTCAGTTAAGCTTTTCGTTTTTCATATTTGACGATCTTGGTTTTTACAGGTACAAGAAAATTCACCAGGACATCGAGCTGGACTGGAGCCGTTCTTTGATTTTATTGTTTCTATTAATGGTTCAAGATTAGTAAGTTCATCCTTTTATAGTTTGACCTCTAGTATTTTGTAATCGTTTAGAAATGGAATTTTTAAAATATATCTGGGATTGATGTTTATTAATAAAAAAACAAAGTTGTTTTTTTAAGTGCTTTTGTTGAATGCCCACGGAGAGTGATTTGGTGAAAATGCAAGTTACAGAATACCATAGAGTATATTGTCCTTTTTGTGCAAACAATGACATGTTATTAAGCATATTGCTTTAGTGTACAGCAAGTCTGAAGGACTCAGACTCCAGAGAATATCTTGGGAGGGCAGGGTCATGGGAGTGTTTTCATTTAAATGTTAAATATTTAAGTCTTGTAAGCAGGAAGGCAGAATTAAGATTAAAATGTTTGTTAAAAGATGTAAGACTTGTGTAGGTCATTAATAAATTGATTAGGAAAGCGACATTTGTAAATAACGTCATTTTTCTTGAAACTAAGTTCTGTGGTATATGGATGATTTTACTTGAATCATAAGATATGTGCTCCAAAAATGTAGAATTAGAATTCCTTTTTTTAAATGGCTTTTAGTGTGCTCATAATAAAGTCCCATAAGAAGGAAATTATATAATCACAGTGAAGAAAATTCTTATAATAGAAACTCTTGGATTGATTTAGTTTTTCAAAATAACTTTGATATTTTAGTTCTAATTTAATAGTATTTCCCACATAATGGTGTTTATTCATTTATGTAATGAAATGTTTGGCATATTTCTTCCACTTGTTTTCCTTCCAGTTTCTAATTACATAATAAAATAAATATTTAGGAGGGAGGCCCAAATCAAACTTCAACCCTGGCAAACAAACCAAAGCCACCTTAGAATTGCTAGTTAGCTATGTGACTGAGGTGTTTTGTGTGTCAGCCTGAATCACTCCTAATGGCACTGGGTTGCAAATCCCATCACCTGAAGTTAGCTCAATAAAAAAGCCAGTTTGAAGTTGTTGCTAACATAGGAACTGTTTTTAATTTATTGACATGCTTATATTTTCATGAACATTTGAATGTTGATGAAGCCTTTTTGATAGCTGATAAACAATTATGTTTCACTTCTTGCCTACTATTTTATTTGTGTTATTAATACTAGTATTATATAGTACTTAAGCTAAAATTAGTTTATTTTTGTGTGTTCACAGAATAAAGACAATGATACACTTAAGGATCTGCTGAAAGCAAACGTTGAAAAACCTGTGAAAATGCTGATCTACAGCAGCAAAACACTGGAGCTGAGAGAGACCTCAGTTACACCAAGTAACATGTGGGGCGGCCAGGGCTTGCTGGGCGTGAGCATTCGCTTCTGCAGCTTCGATGGAGCTAACGAAAATGTTTGGCACGTGATGGTAAGTGTCGACTATGAGCTGTTTGTTCTTGCTTAAGACAATGAGAAACGTCTTTTATTGGTGCTTTTCTTTAGTTTGAGAAGATTATAAGTTTTTAAAAATTATTAAAGTATTATTATTTGTTTCTGTTTCTGATTATCAGTATACATTGCCTTTGCAATGAGTTAAAAAGCAAAATTTTGAGGAGCAGATACGAGGGGGTTTCAAAATGCTTGTAAGAAAACCCCATTGTATTTCCCTTCAGTTTTCCCACAAACATGTGGAAGCTCCCTAGTATATAATTGAAGCAAATATAATTTATACATTAGAATGCATGTCAAAGCAGTGATCTACAGAAGCATGTCAAATATTTATTTAAATAATCCTAATTTTTGCTTGGGAGTTTTATTTTAAATATATTCTATAATGTCTAACATCTCTAAAAGACAAGGGTTTGGAATTTTATTCTTACCACGTACCCTAAACTTGAGGTGTACTTCTGTCATCCTAGGAAGTGGAACCTAATTCTCCTGCGGCCCTAGCAGGTCTCAGACCTCACAGTGATTATATCATCGGAGCAGATACGATCATAAATGAGGTAATTAGCTGATTAGTAATAAGAAAACTTAGAATAGTATTTTCTCACTGATGTTTAAGTGCCAAAGGACTTTGCAATCAATGTTGAAATTTAGATCTTTGCTAATAAAGACAGCTGATGCTTCAGGGTGGTAAGTGGAACATCTGGGAGTTGTCTCAGGCATGGCTGTGAGGGAAAGCACACAGCGGGGTGATGTACAGAGACCTGTTCTCTAACTCAAGTCTGAGTCAGAGTCTCCTTTTCATCATTGATTTCAACTTCCTTTTGCTTTTCAAGGTAACGAGTTGTTTCGACTCCTTGGACCCCCGTGGGGTGGGCTTCACTGTATTTTCCACAGACACAGGCCTCCAGGTGTTTGTTTCAAAGTGCAGCCCTGTGGTGTGGCCCACCCTGGCACGCTTCAACCAGTCACACCACATTAGTCACCTCCCTCTCCTTTCCAGTAGCTAATGAAGTATACATTGCTAAATCAAAAATGGGAGGAAAAAATAAGATGCCCAATAACTAGGTACTAATCTTGGAGAATAAAAGTAGAATATGTTGGATTTGAACTTGGATTAGAAGAGCTCTAAGAATACTGATTAGATCTTATTCCTGAGTTGGTCTGGACACCTTGCACCTAGATGGTAGCTCACTGAATTCAACTTTTCCTGGTGTATCAATATTAAGGAATCATTCTTGTTTCTGGACCAGGGCCCAGAAAATCAGTTCTTGTTCTTTTTAACTGACCAGGTGAGTCTGATAATAGCCAGGTTTGAGACGCACTGCTTTAAAATTCAGTAACATTTAAAAAAATACTTTCCCTCTGATACTTTTGTAGTCCGAAGATCTTTTCAGCCTTATTGAAACCCATGAAGCAAAACCATTGAAACTTTATGTATACAACACAGACACGGATAACTGTCGAGAAGTGATAATCACGCCGAATTCTGCATGGGGCGGAGAAGGCAGGTAAGGTCATTTTTGAGGCTAAGGTTTGATTACTTAACTTACTAATCAGATGTGTTATAAAACACTATTAGGTTTAGTTCAAGAACCTCTAGAGAAAAGGAGAAAGCTGGCGTAGAACATTCAAACCAACAAGTCATTTTTCAAACTACACATCTTAGAGAGCCTGAGATATATACTGTAGTCCTTGTCTTTATTGCTTTAACAGCTAACCGTTGCCACCTTTTCCCCCGCCAGAATTCATAGAGCATAGGCCACCTTAAAACACAAATTCAGTCTGTTCCAACTCAGGGTGAGCCTGTGGGACAGAGTAGAACTGCATCTGGGTTGTTTCCGAGGCTGTATGTCTTCATGGGAGGAGAAAGCCTCATCTTTCTCGGGAGGAGTGGCAGGTGGTTTTAAACTGCTGGTGCTGTCATTAGGAGCCCAATGTATAACCCACTACGCCACCAGGGCTTGCCAGCATAAGCCAGAGTTAAAGGAAAACCTAGGATTTGGAGGCCTTTCTACATGAGTTGTAAAAGTTGCAATTTTTGCTGAGAAAAAGATGGCTTAGTTGATGTAAGCAGATAAAGCTTCCCTTTGACCAAAATATCTTTACCCATGCTGCAAAGTTTCTCAACTCAGCATATTTCACTGCCAGAATCCTAACTTTATAGTTGAGAAGAGTGGGCTCCAGGTGTTAGCCGAGAAACCACCTTTTCTAGAGAAGACTTGCTCATTATCATCTACTGTCCCGGTTTGTCAACACCCAGAAAGAAGCGCTCCTGGCTTTCACGAGTGATGAACTCTGGAGGGACTTCACATTAACTAAAGAAGCTGGCTAGTACTTCCCTAGAATGGCAGTTTTTCATTTACAGTTGGAAAATGCCGACTCTTGAGGAGACGGTGCTGGTCAGATTAGTGCCACAAGATTGCCTGGCACACATGGAGTCTGAAAACAAGGAGAGGCTGGGAGTGGTGAAGTCCAATAGCAAACAACATTTCTCTTCCTTGATTTTTATTGAAGTTGATTAAGCATTTTGTTCTTTGGGACCTTTTTCGTTTTTCCTTCTTTTATTTTGAAGACCCAGTGTTGATTATATCTTTCCTGTGGAAAACTTTTCTTTTTTTCTTTTTGATACATTTAATGCATTAACTGGCCATTTGATTAACCTAATACAGACCATTTTTCCTGAAGCCGCCCTCTGACCATGCATTTGGCATCTATAAGGAGGCTTCAGAAAATTCATGGAAAGATGGAGCTGAAAGATAATGGAAATGTCCCGTAAACTTTTTTGAATTCTCTCAGATGTACCCTGATTTTTGTTCTTCCCCCAGAGGCTGGCCACTTTTCGTTTATTACACTATATTTCCCTCCGTTTCATTAGTGGGGTCTCTAAGTTTGGACAGGGTCTTGCTGTTGCCTCAAGTACCTTCTCTAGCACCCCTTACTTTGGCTAATAAACACCCTGTTTTGAAATGCAGCTCGCTCTGAAAGGATGTCCTTAAGGTAGTATAAATGATTGAATCCAATTTTCTTCCTCTAAACGTACCTGATACACACCACTGGAGGAATTGCAATTTTGGCGATAGGAAAGTAAGGGGAGACAGACTAAGTAGTCTCAAAGTATGAAGCAGCATGATGCAAATCGGGGGTGGGTAAGGAGGACCTGAAACTGGCCACTGTCCCAGCTTTGGTGGCAGGGATGCCCATAAAGGTCATGGACGTTTGGCAGAGGAAAGACACACAGAGGAGTACACCGTCCACTAGAACGTGTCAGGGAGTCTGGCAAATAAGACCAGCCCTGAAGGAATCGTAAGTTGGAACTAATTGCCTGCAGAACACATCCCAGTCAGGAATTTGGGTATTCTGTGGGCTCTGAGGCTATGGCATTTTATCAGGAGAAAGTTCTTTGGTTCTAAATAGTAGAAACCAGCTATTACTGTCAAAAGCAGAAATGAATTTCTTGATATGGACTAACTCATAAAATCAAACAGCTGACAAACCAGGCTCCGGGGTTTCTATCACCAGGCCTGGTCCACAATTTCATCATTATTCCACTGAGGTGATGAAGCCATTTTTGGTTTTCTGACACACCCACGTTTTGCCACCCTGGGCAAGAGAGGTTAGGTTGGTGGGCCTGTCTCTGGTCTTGAGCCTCTTCCTTGGTTTGAACAGGCCAGGTACCCATGTCGACAGCCCCACAGCACTGCACGCAGCCGCAGAGAAGTTATTTCCCCGAGGGAGGAGGGAGAAAGGGGCATTGGCAGGCCTGCAGACTAAGGGAAGAGGTAGGACAGTCACATCTTTCTTACAAAGATGCTTTTTGGTGGCAGTAAGAGGCTGAATTAAACGTGGAATCTGGATTAAACAAATGTGGCTCCTTTGTTTCAAGTTCTGCTTAAAACTATGACGAAAATCAATGACATCATCAAATACAAGTGAAGAGGCTGTCTGTCATTCATTCAGTAGTGATTAAGCACCTCCTACATTCCCTGATCAGTCAGTATATAAAGCCAGGTCTGTGCCCTCCAGGAACGTGGATTGTATTGGGGACACAGACAATGAGCCAAGAACTCTGCAGTATGTCCGATAACTCTGTGAATGCTTGATGGGAGGTAAAGGAGAACAAGGACAGTGTTCAGGGGAGACCTCGGATTGGGTGGCATTGTTTACAGTGATGGACTTGTGTTCTCTATCTCCCGAAAATGCAAGCTGTGATTTGTAACAGTGTCTTTAAGAACACAATATTTTTATAGCCTAGGATGCGGCATTGGATATGGCTATTTGCATCGAATACCCACCCGCCCATTTGAAGAAGGAAAGAAAATTTCTCTTCCGGGACAAATGACTGGCACACCTATTACTCCTCTTAAAGACGGGTTCACGGAGGTAAGACCCCATTCCTCCTGGGGTCTGTGCTTACGCTTCCACTCAAGTCAGCCATGTCTGTGCTTGGTATTGTCGCTCTTTGAGTTTGGGCAGATGATGAGTGGAGTATGGGGCATGCTGCCCTTGGGATCTACAGCTGGAAGTTAAATATAGGAATCTGTATTTTAGGAATGAGACAGATAGGCCTGAGAGAGGACAGGTTTAGAAATCATCTGGAAAGAGTGCTGTGTAACCAGTTTAGGTGGAAGTCAGAGGACTGAGGTCAGCCTCTGGAAAGGGGATCCCATAAAGAGCCCTAGGGGAGACACCCAAGAAGAAGAGCCTGATAGGCCCTGGCAGAGAGCAGGTGAGAAAAAGCATGAAGAAATCATGCCCTGGGCTATTGCCACCTCAGAGCCTTGGCAGGCCCAGATCAGCGGTCAGATTACAGAGGCCACTGAGTATGTGTGGAGGGGGAGAAGCTGGTGCTTCGGCGTTCCTTGCTGGGGTGGGTGGGTTAGAACTTAACCTCAGAAGAACGCTTCATGATCTGCTTCTGGAGAGGGACGTGGTGTCTGGCACACGTGGTTCCCATGTGGCAGAGTGGACACAGCAGTCCTTGGTTGTACAGTATGTACCACAGTGAGGTGGGCGTGTCTGAGGCAGACAGGCAGGTGGAAACTTCTAACAAGTATGTGGTCAAAAATGTACAGTATTTATTAAAGTAAATGACAGTCTTTATTTTCTTTCAAGTGAAAGAGAATAATGTTCTCTTTTTTTCTTTCTTTTGGAAGGTCCAGCTGTCCTCAGTTAACCCCCCACCTTTATCACCACCAGGAACGACAGGCATTGAGCAGAGCTTGGCTGGGCTTTCTATTAGCTCAGCTCCTCCAGCCGTCAGTAGCGTTCTCAGCACAGGTGAGCAGGAGAGTTCTCTGTACGACCTGCTCTGTTTCTCATAATACTCATCCTCTCTTTTCCGTCTGAGTTAGTTAATTTGTGCCAGCCTGGCCGATAATCACATGTGGGGCTGGTTGAAAGGCAGAGGGATAAATGGGTGGTGAAGCCTCGCCTTTCTAGTTCTCGGGTCTCTTGTTTTGTGATGGTTGCACCGGGTGCAGCTGCCTTAGCAGTTCCCTGCTTCAGCTTGCAAGATTGACTTCCTACAAGACATTCCCAAGGAGAAGCTACATGGACCTATCCTGATGTAGCCCTGGGTGCTGGAGCAGCCGTGTGGAGACCCCTGCTAGTGCTGAGATGCTTGTTTGTTCACTGACTCAGCTTTCCTCCTGCAGTCGGCATCATTGCCTCTGTTTTGTGAGGTGGAGGACTTTGTGGACTGGTGTTGGGTTAATGGGTTAATGTTGGACTTGTGAGCTTGGGCAGCATTGGGTTGGGATGTTTCCGTGATGCACATTTTCTTTGCATAAAACTCTCTCTTATACATGAGTCGCTGTGGATTTGTTTCTCCAAAGTACCTAGACTAATACACCGTCTCAGCGGTAGGATTTTACAGAGTGTGGCTGGCACACAGACTGCTTCTCCGCACAGTTCAGACCCAGGCTTCTCTTAGATGTACAGCCTGGGTAGGGCTAGGAATACGCCTTTCACCTCTGTGTTATCATCTGTATTCTCCACAAGCATCTGCCTGTCACCTGAGCACCAGGTACTGGGGACACAAGTGGCCCATTTTTAGAGGCTCAGGCTTGCTCAGGGGACATGTGCACCTCTTTATTTCCTCCACTTTTCTATAGGAGATAGTCCCGGTATTAGTCCGGGTGGACTAGTGAAACAAATTCACAGACACTCGTGTATGTAAGAGAGAGATTTAATCAAAGAGTAATTGCATATGGAGAAGACATCCCAGCCCAGATCAAGCCCATAAGTCCGATATTATCCCATATGTCCAATACCAGTCTATAAATTCCTCTTCAGACTCACTCAGCCGTGCAATAAGGCCAAATGCAGGAAGATCACAGGCCAGTGGTTGGAAAGTCTCATGGATCCAGTGGCAGTGGAAGCATCTCAGCACTGGCAGGGATCTCCACGTGGCTCCTCCAGCTCCAGGGCTCTAGCATAGCTCTGTGTGTCTTGTCAGCAGGAAGAGTGTGTGTGTCCCACCTCCAGTGAGCTATTATCTCCGTAGTGCCTCTAATTGAGGTCATCAAGCTATGACCTGATTGACAGGCTTGATTCCACCCCTTCGCAAGTTGACAGGAGATTATGTAACTGCCACAGTCCCTCTTTTTTTTTTTTTTCTTAGCGTTTTTTGGTTAGTATTTTCCCCAGCCACATAAGATATCATTCACTCACCATCCATTTAAAGTACACCATTCAGTGATTTGTTAGCATAGACACCTACTGTGCAGTCACCTCTGCTGTCAATTTCAGAACATTTTCATTACCTCAGGAAAGCCACATGATGTCCATTAGAAGTTACTCTCTATCCTCCCTTCCCCCCGCCCGGAGGCAGCCACTAGTCTCCTTTGTGTCCTTCTGGATTTGCCTAATCTGGGTATTTCATAGGAAGGGAATCAGACAATATGTACTTTGTGACTGGCTTCCTGCACTCCACATCCATGGGATAGCATGATTCATTGGTTTACTCCTTTTATGGCTGCATAATAGTCCATTGTGTGGGTATACCACATTTATCTGTTCATTGGCTGAGGAACATTTGCATGTTTTTTACTATTATGGATATTGCTGCTGTGAATATTCTGTGTAAGTTTTCAGGTGGACATGTTTTCATATGTAGGGTAAATAACCAAGAGTACAATTGTAGGACCTAAGACCACATGATACAATTCTTAACTTAGTGCATTCATCTTTTACTTTATGGTTTTCAAAATGAGTGCATATTTTATACTCAGTAAGTGCTAATGAAAAAGTTACTGACATCGCTTTATCTTAACACCTTTTATCCTGGAGCTCTTTTTAATGTGCTCAGAATCGAAGCGCTCCAGGGGCATAATGGGTTCAAGGCTTGGTTGCTGACCTCAAGAGTGACCATTCAAACCCACCAGAAAGAAAGGCTGTCCAGTCCCATAAAGATTTATAGTCTTGGGTTTATACCCTATGGAGTAATTCTTTTCTGCCCGCTCCGGTCTCTGTGAGTCCGGATCAGCTGGATGGCAGTGGGTCCAGTTCACTTTGGTTAGGTTGTACAGATGCTGAGCTCCGCTGCTAACTGAAATGTTGGTGGTTCAAACCTGCCTTTCTGGGAGAGAGATGTGGCAGTCACTTTTCTGAAAGACTGCAGCCTTGGAAACACCTGCCAGGAGGTTCTGCTCTGACCTTCTCAACTCATCAGTAATGGAATTCACTTTGCTGTGGAATGGATTTAAGTGGCCCATCCAAAAGAAAGGAGACTAAGGGTATGGTCTCTGGAGTCGCCGCCCTACACTCAAATCAGCTCTTTGCAGTCTTAGTTTTATTTCCCAAAAGATTCGCATTAGAATCTGAGCTTTCCATTAAAAATTTCAAACATTTACAAAAGTAGAAGGAATAGGATAATGAATCACCATCGCAATCTTCCAGGTCCACAGATTATCAATATAGTAACATATCTCGCCATCCCTACTCATTGCAAGGTCTTTCTCCGGTTTTCTGTAGATATAATGTGCATATATTAGCTCATTTTGAATGTACAATCGAATTATTTTTAGTAAGTTTATACAGTTGTGTTCACCATCACAATCGTTTTAGACATTTCCTAAATGGGAATCAGCATCTATTTTTAAATACAGTTGAGAAGGATCTTGAGTTTTTCATTCCAGCAGTGTTTGAGTCCTTTTATGTACATATACATATTTATGTATGTATGTGTGTGTTTATATGTGTATTTATGTATGTAATTAATACCTCCCATTCAACCGTTTTCTAGCTTATTCCTGAGTAGACTTAGTAACAGGGTGGTTGGGATATTTCCCAAGGTGCCAGCCCATTCTGTGTCTGAACAGTCTTGAACTGTGTAGAGGAAGAGTGTCCCACTGACCTGTGACCACTCTTCTGACTTCGGAAGTAACTGATGTCTCTTCAAGTTCCCATTGTGACACGTTTTAGATTTCCACTCACTGTATTATTGTTACACTGTAATGTCTTACATGCACATTCGCTGAAATCTCAGAGACATGACTTCTTGAGTGTTAAAAATAGAAACATAAACCATAATTGCTCAAAAGAGACCAGGAGGAATCAAGTGTTTCAACTTTATTTTAGGTGTACCAACAGTACCGTTACTGCCACCCCAGGTAAACCAGGCCCTTGCTTCTGTGTCGCCCATAACCCCAGCTACGACGATACCAGGTAAGCACACAGGACTCGAGATGTGTGTCATGATAGTAGTGTTACTCTTATTTTGCATCTTAAAATAATGAAAAAATCTTAACACATACATAGTGACTTTTAGGTGTTTGACCTCTGTGGTAACTTTATGAGAGCAAGTGGGCCCTCTTCTGAATAGGCACAACAGATGGTCACCCAGCGAGCTCACCACCAAGTCCAAGGCTCTCATCATACCTCCCCCTGGCCAGTATGAGCGGGGCACAAACGGGTGAACAAGTTTGTTCTTTAGCGTCCCCTTGATGAGGTCTTTTGGACACTTGCTTATGTGCATAGACACCAGGTTCTGGGAGAGAGCCCGCCTTCTCACATTGCTACTTGTTTGTGTATTTCTGTGACTACGGAGTGCCTATCCAGCTGCTCATTGCCAGATCTCCCACGATCACAAGGCACTAAGGTGGGGAGCCTGTGTTGTAAGACTGCAGGTGCGTAGAGCCCCGGCGTGCACCATACAGGGGAGTACAAGTGTGGTCAAATGTGCACTTGGAGTAAAAGGGGCAGGTGGGGATTCTTTATACTGCTTTTTGCAACTTTAAGTGTGAAATTATTTCAGATTTTTTTTTCCCTAAAGAAGACTTCTGGAGAAACTAAACATTAGCTGTCAGGCCCAGAAGCTCCCGTACTGGCCGCGCTCGGTCAGTCTTTCTCCACAGCTGGCCGGCTTTCTTGTTCCAGTGCTATAGCAGTAGGAAGGGTCTTTGCAAAGTTCGAGGGGCAATTCCATTTTCTTCTTAGTCCATTTCTCCAGGAACTTTCTGAAGCTCCCTTGTATTTTGTTTTCCTTTGCTCATTTAGCTCACATAGCCATCCCTTCAGGACAAACAGGTACACTGCAGATGAGCTAGATTGTCATTACTGCTGTCCTAAGGAGCCTGGGGGCACAGTGGCTAAGTGCTCAGACACTAACTGGAAGGTTAGGGGTTCAAACCCGGCTATTGGCTCCCAAGGCGAAGGAGGTGGTGAGCTGCTCCTATAGAACACACAGCCTAGAGAACCTCCGGGAAGCTCTTTGCTGTCATCGGGTCACTGTGAGAGGCAATGGCCTTGATGACACCTAACGATCACAACAGCCCTGCCGTGATCATACGGCACTGCCCCGCCGCAGGTGGGCTCCAGTGCCCTCTCTCCCAGCACATGACTTCCTGTCTGTTCAGGTGAAGGGGGCTTACCTTTTGCTCTTTCATGTCTTTTCTTCAGGTCTGATGCCTTTACCAGCAGGACTGCCACCCCTGCCCGCCCTTCCCAACCTCAACCTCCCTGCGGCACACATCATGCCGGGTGTCGGCTTGCCAGACATTGGGACCCCAGGTATGTTGCACGGCTTGCCCTCCTGGGAGCGTCCTCGCTAATGAATAGTGCTAGCCGGGAAAGATGATCCTCTACTCCAGTGTTTTCAGTTTTGTTTTTCACCCCGGGAAGGACCGATCAATTTAAGAAATTGAAGCTACTTCAAATCAATACGAACCCTCTTCTTTAAAAAGCAGTGTTTGCAAGTGTTAGGGAGATGAGGACACAGGTATATTCTGAGGCCCCAGCCAGCATTCCCATCCTCTCTGCCGGCCATTTCTACTCCCTGCACACTGGCAGCTCTAGTCCCACTAAAGCCCCGGGCAGCAGGGCGCTAAGGGCTCCCGGCTCACCCAGAGGGGCCCTGACTTCCCATGATGATGTGTTTGGGCGACTGCCCGCCGCAGGCCTCCACGGTGCCTGGTCTTGCACGGTGTAAAGGCGGACCTGAGGACGACATAACTGACAGGACAAGGGAGAGCAGAAACAGAAAGTAGCTTTATTAGGGGCTAGGGGAGCTCCCAGACTAGGGAAGTCCTGCTCAGCAGCTGGGGGCCAGGGTTTTTAAAGGGGTGGTGAGGAATGTATGGCAATTAGCATATGGGGTCTGGAAACTGGGAGAGTTGCCTGTCAACTCCAGGAGGTTTTCTTTGAACCAGGAACATCAGGTTTCACTGGCACCCACTGCTGCTGACCTCTGGGACATGCAGGGAAGGAAGCACTTGCAGGGCCCAAACCTGCTTCAGCTTAGTCCAAACTGGGGCTGCCTAGTTCAGACCCGACCCAACATTCCAAACTTCTTAATATTGGAAATGGGGCAATGTTTTTCTGTCTTAATTACTTCCTGCTGAGATAGGTGGAAGGTTTGGGGGCCGGGCCAGTCGGCAGCGGACTGTAAGGGTGAAGAAGCTGATTGAAGGTCAGGTTGGAGATAGAGCTAAAAGCAAAGGCACACAGATTATTATCAGAGACCCGATGAGGGGCATAACCCAGGCCATTGCAGGATTTTGAAACCATGAGAAGCTGGTGGTGCTTCACTGACGTTTCCTGATTTGATTGGCCATGGTGCGGAGTACCTTAACATTTTGTTTAACTATGCCCGATTCATTAATATAATAACTATTTAGAAACAGGCATGTTCCTCTTGTATTTGCTGTTAAAATAAGTCGAGCTTGGCAATTTTGTAGGGTGACTCGTGCTAAGGATGTTAACTGCCTTTGGAGGGAGACAAGAGAGTTATCAGTTTGATGTTTTTTGCAATGGATGATGGCTACTTTGCTGGCAGCTGAAGAGCCTGTAAGAGATTAACTATTAATTTATTGTTTACTATGGGGGACCCTTTGGTAGTCAGAAAATTCCCATTCCTTCCAGGTGGTGGCATGAGTGAGATATAAGGAACGCATAATTAGAATCAGGATATATATTAGCCGTTTTTTCCTTTAGTTAGATGGAGAGCTCAGGTGAGAGGACAGTATATGCAGCCTGCTGTTGCCCCTGGACATTTACGACAGAACTGCCATCAACAAATACGGTTGATCAGAAAGTCTGGGTCCCATCGGGGCAGTGTTAGTGGTCACTCCTTCCCCAGGCAGTTGAGAAACTAAGTTCCAGTGAGTCTAGGAGCTGAGGCAAGAGGGTTGCTGGGTTTAAAGAGGGAGCCTGCGCAGAGTTACCTTAGGGTTTTCCATAAACATGCGATAGATTTTCTGCAAGAGGCTTGGAGACAGCAAAGACAGGACTCAGTGTGAGAGGAGGTCCTGCAGCCTGTGGGGATAGGCTTTCCCTGGGTTAACTTTAGGGCTCTTTCAGTGAGGGTGGTGGCTGCCTCCAGGGCCTGGAAGCAGGGTAGCCAACCTCTGACTGTCATATCTAGATGCTTAGACAGACAAGCTATAGGGAATAGAGCGGGCCCCAGGGGCAGAGCCAGGACTCCCACTGCTATACCTTGTTTTTTGCCTGTGTAGAGTAAAAAAGGTTTGGCAGGGTCTGGTAGGCACAGAGGTGGGGTTGAAGGAGGGCATGTCAGAGTTTGTTAAAGGCAGCTTTGACTTAGAGTTAAACTCTGAATGGTGGGGGTGGGACACAGGCTTAAACAGATAGCAGAATGAGATAAGTGTGTCTTGGAGGGAGAGAGAAGTTAAGGGAGTTGGGCCATGTTTGCTTTAGATCTGTTTTAGGAAGGGCTCTAGGTAAAGGAATGTTGACAAGCTCCAGCTTGGAAAAAGGTATAGTGGAAGGGAGAATGTGGGACAGAAGAGTATAGGGGTCGGGAGCTATGTCTCTGCCCAACAGAGGGACCAGGCACAAAGGGATTCTAAGGAAGGAATGAGTAAAGGGCTGGTACACCTGGGGCAGGTAGGCTTGCCATCAAAGGCCATGACCGAGATTGAGGAAGGACTGCCTAGCCCTGAAAATGAGGGCAGGTCAGAAAAGACAGCTTCCGTGCAAGAAGGACATTCATTCACCCAATACCTTGAGCAATGCCCCAGGCTCAGCGAGGGTGATGGGGGTCCAGTCAGGGTCTCTTCAGACTTCGGCCAATCCCAGCAGGGCCAACAGCGGTCAGGAATTGGAAGGACAGTCCCCCCACGTGGAGACACAAAGGGCCTGTCACTTTTCCCAGGACAGTCGGCCTTCCAGTGTCTGCTTTGACAGCACGCTGGGCAGGGTTTGGTTGGAGCTCCTGCCCTGGGGCACTCCTGTGACCAGGGCCCTTCCCTGCATTTGAAGCAGGCACCAGGTGGTGGTCCTTGTTCCCATGCACCCTTGCCCCACGCTGCCCTTCTGGGGCCTCCCCAGCTGCAGGGCTGCTACTAAGGCTTGGGTTGATAATTTACCTTCTGCCAGAACCAGGTTCATGGACTGGCTGCCTGCTCCTCACGGCTGTTAAAAAACCTTAAATGCCATATTCGCTAAATCTCGGACCTGGGTTTGAGGGCCTTTCTTCTGCTTTTTAAGCTTTTAATGTAAAGCAGCAGTTAAGCAGCTTAAAAAGGTGGCTGGATTCTCCTCAGTCTTTTGAGTGATTTTAAGATTATTAAAATTGACTCCTATATGGGAAATGGCCTGAAGCCAAGTCAGGGCATACTGAAGCATTTTATTATGGCGTGTCTGTCCCTACCTGCTTGATTGTTAATTTGATAACTTTAACCAGGTTTTTTTTTCTAGAAACCACCTAGATTAGGGTGTGTTAAATGAACCTGGTTGTAGTTCTGCTGAACAGTGAGAAAAATGCATTCCCTCTTATCTGCAATCAGGGTGGAGGAAAAGATGGCAAAAATACCATGCCAGGACAAATTATAAGCTTGAGTTAAATATCAAAACTTCTTAATATAGGTGGTGGGATCATTATAAAGGGAGTCTATGAAAACGCTTTTAAATCTGAGATAAATTAGTGAGAGAAAAGGGAACATGAACCGGACCACTCTCTCAGCCCTGGCCACTTTCCGGAGTGGACACAGGACAAGGGGGTTCTGAGGTCGCATGTGCTTGCTAACCGGGGAGGTGAGTGCAGACTCGGGTTCCTCCAGGGAGGCAGGTAGATCAGGAGAAGAAGACATGGTGGGTGGCTCTGGGTGGCCAGAATCGGGAGAGGGGTGAGGAGGAGGGGAGGGGAGACAAGGTGTTCAGGCAGGTCTGAAAAGGCAGACACCAGAGAGGGGTCCAGAAGCAGGGGGAGGGGAGCAGGAAGTACAGAGAAGGAGAGCTCAGAGGAAAGGCAGCCTGGATGCAGAATCTCAGACTATTTGTGAATTTACTGGCACAAATGATCAAGATTCCAGAGGACTTTGAAATGTAAAGTGCAGCGATTAAAGCTGTCACTTCCTGGAGCTTCCTGACCCCTCCCTCCTGCCAGGCTCAGGGTGGCCACAGTGGATTTGTGCTCTGCTTTCCTGTCTGGGAGAGGTCTGTTAACCACTGCTGGTGTTGGCTCAGAGGAGGCTGAGCAAGGAGGGGTCCAGGAAGGGGAGGGAGAGAGAGAAACTCCAGAGTCTGAGGGGTCTGGCTCTGGTGTCCGAGGCACAGTGCCTCAGCCTTTGGGAGTTGAGGGGGTAGCGGAGGAGGTGGTGAGGGGCACCCAGAATATGGAGAAGGCCTTGCTGGGGGTGCAGATAAGGCGTCAGGGGTCCGGAGAAAGACGGAGGGGGAGTACTGTCTGGGCCTGATTAAGAGTGTTTGCTAAGAGATCTTGAGCAGGGTGCAAGGTAGTAGAGAGGGACGGAGCGAAGAAAGAAAAAGACCTGAACATAAGGGACTTCTGATTATTTGTCGTTTGTTGACAAAACTTGTTGAGGTTACGGGGAACGTTAAATCGAAAGTGCTATTTTCTGGCTAGCGCAACTCATTGTCCAATTGGTATTGAGGCCAAACTTGGTTACAGAAAAAACCAGGCATTGCCAAACCCAATTCAGTAAGGTTGGCAGTAGGCACCCCAAAGGACTGTCCATAGGGGGTTGGGACAGGAGATTTCCCATTGTGTCTCAAACTGCAGGGGTTACAGACAGAGGAGAAGGGCGTCCCCTGGTCCCCGTTCTCACCCTTCAGTCAGGAGGTGGCCTGTAACCCTGAGAGGCATCCGAGTCAGAGATAGGGGCCCAGTGGGAGAGTCCTGGACTCTCTGGAACGGGAAGGTTCCCTGGCGCAGGCCTGTGGCTTTAACAGGCAGACAGGGACCTCGGATCAGAGAGACACAATGGAAGCCCAGGAGGGGGAGGGGGCCTGGCTTATGGCCGGTAAGAATGGAGTTTAGTTAGGCCTTTGTTCAGGGTGAGAGTTAGGGGAAGCAGAACATTTTAGAGAAAGCACTGCGGGGCGCAGATGCAAAACACACAAACAGGTAGGAAAGGCTCAGACCCACCCCCTGCGTTCCAGTCCGGGCAGAAGGTGCAGTGACTGCTAGGAGTTTGTTATCAGCAGGAATCCCAGGAGGTAAACAGAGACAAGAGGCTGGAAGCCACATGAGAGAGGGTAGATACAGGGAAAAGATGGACACTAGAAACTGACCTTATGGCCGCACTCCTTTCAGGAAGGCAGCTCCTCTTGGTACTAGGGCTGCTTTTCAGGACGTTCAGCTAGTTAGCCTCCCGCGGACCCTCTGTTCCCGTCTGAGTTTGCTGGTCCTCGGTGTCCAGAGAGACAAACGAGACAGAACGAACATACACAGAGAGATACTAACCAGAAGTCCCTCGTTCAGACAGGCTCCGGAGGTTCGAGAAGAGAGGAGGGGGTCTGCATCCCAGCCCCTGTCCCTACCTCTCCGGGCTTCGCGCACCAGTGTAAAGGCGGACCTGAGGACCAGGGAGGAAGACATAACTGACAGGACAAGGGAGAGCAGAAACAGAAAGTAGCTTCATTAGGGGTTAGGGGAGCTCGAGGACCTGGGCCAACAGGTCAGGGAAGTCCTGCTCAGCAGCTGGGGGCCAGGTGGTGAGGAATGTATGGCAATTAGCATATGGGGTCTGGAAACTGGGAGCACAGGGCTCTTCCCATGACCCCCAGTGGAGACCCAGGCTGTCCTCACTGAGAGGACCACTTCCTCCTGGAGCCCATCGGGCTTCCCTCATCTCCAGCTCTGAGCCAAGCCCCCTGGAGCAGAGGCTGGGCCCCTCCACGTGGCCTCCAGTGGGGAGAAGCTTGTGTGGTTTGCTAGGCTGGCACGGCTGCTCTCGTGGTTCTAGGGCGATGGATGATGTGTGCCATTTCTCTCCTAGGTTTGCCATCTCTTCCTTCCTTGCGGCCCCGAAACTTGCCCGGCCTTGCACCTCTTCCTATGCCAGCCGAGTTCCTCTCGTCATTCCCTTTGGTTCCAGAAGTCTCTTCGGTTGCAGGCTCAGGCGAGCTGCTGGCCTCCCTGCCCCTTCCCGGCAACCCGCCTTCTGAGCCCACTACGATGACTGCCAAGGCAGACACCGCCTCCCCACCCACTGTGGATGCCGGACCCCCGACTGCACAGGCCCCAGCTGAGGACAGAGCCAGCGAGTCGGCCCCAGCCACAGAGAAGCCCACACCTGCTGCTGGGGGTGCCAGTGCTTCTGAGTCCCCTTAACTGTGGCTCGTTCCCCGGGAGCGGGTCTGGAAGTGCAAACTGTCATTAATTTCATACTGGTTTGTACATCTCTGTAGGCATCCTGTAAATAGTCCTAAGGGGGGAACGCAGCAAGAGGCCAGGACTTGTTTCCTGCCGAGCTGGGCTGGGGAGGGAAGCCTGAGCAAGTGCTCCTGCTTTAAAACAACCAAAAAATTAAAATAAAATGGTTAGGGTGGCTTGCTGCCAGGCTGCCTGCATTGTGCTGTTCGGGGTGGGCATCTATGGAAACGACGGTGGCAGGGTGTCCTCTAAGGATCCCTGTGTCCCCACTCCCCCGAAACACTCGATGCCTCCGTCTCACGCAGAGCAATTCTTGTACACTCAATTGTTTGCAAGATGCAAACCACCTCACTAAGTTCTGAACGGAAAATCTATTTTACTTTGAGTCACATCTGTTGAGGTTTACAAGAAAGCTCCAACGAGAGATGTGTGTTCAAGGCCCGCTGTGGGCACTAGTCATTGAACATCTTCTTATCCTGCCTAGACAGATCCTCATTTTGCGCTCTCAAGGTTATTCAGACCGCATTTTGTAATTGCTGCTGTTGCATCACGAAGCTCCCATCAAAAGCATTTACAAAGAAACCACGAAAGCGTTGCCCAGTTTACTGGTGGGCAGCACTCCGGCTCCGTGGCGAGCTGGAGCTCTGGAAACTACCGCCTTGCACTGTCACGGGTGCCCTCGTCTCTGATGTAGGATGTGTGTTTTACGTTGGCTTTCTCCTCGGTTTCATAGGAAGAAATGATTGATCCATTGAGATTGAACAGTGTTTCCCCGTTTTGCAGAGAAGACGCAAGAGGTTCACTGGTCATTGGCCCGGGACTCGGATGAAAACACTCGTGTCCTCAGTGGTGGAGGACCGCCTCGCACTGGCCTGTGACCATCCGCCAGCCCGGAGCCTCCAAAGGGAGGAGGCTTGGACCAGCCACTGTAGAATTAATTCCCCAGGGGCTTCACCAAGGTGGCGGGAAAACCTGGGACCCGTTCTGTTTCCACACCAGCTCTTTGATGACTCTCACCGCCGTTTCTGGGGCCAGGTTTGTACTTAGAGCTCCGTGCTAAAAGAAGACTCGGTCTTTCATTAAAGCTGCTTCCGTTGGCATTACCGGTATTTCTAGATTATTTTTCTCAGTCACTGTTCCTGTTTCTTTCAAAGGAGCTTCCCACAGGTGGGGGGAAATTTCACAAGCACATTTAGACATTATAGGATAGGGGAAAGTTGAGCAAGTTATTGTATGGCCGGATCAATATCAGGCCGGCATCTAGCAGCAAGTGACCGTGTAGCGCTGACCAGAGCTGGCTAAAACCACTAGCAGCAAGTGGCCTTAAATCTCCCACACACACCTGCGGAGCTGACCAGAGCTGGCTATGTAACCTGTCAGCAGCTTTGCAAGTTTTTTTCTTTCTTTTGCTCACGCCCCCCCTTGTTCACTGCCCATTTGGCTCAGTGCCCGCTTTGCTCTCGACCCTCCACTCTGCACCCAGCACAGCCCGTTTGGCTCAGTGCCTGCCTTGTTCTCGCCCACCACTCTGCACCCGGCACGAATACACCCGGAACCAGGAAGACACCTTACATTCCAGAAACCCGGACATACCTGTCCATACATATATAAGCATCACCCCTGTAGCCTGCAGTGCGACTCCCCCAGCCTGGACTTTGTAGACTGTGGGACTTTGCCCAGTATGGCTTTTTCTCCCTAATAAAACCTGTGTGTTCTAATCCAACTGATTTGGCTTCTGGCACCTCTCGACTGCCTTACATGGGTGCCAAAACGTGGGAATAAAGACCCTCTCAGTGGTCAGGGGCCAGCCCCCCTCCCCTCTCAAGGGACTCTTCTACAACCAAACCTCAGTGGTCGAGAATGGCGCGATCAGTTTTGGACTCGGGTATGTCCTGCCCTGCCACGTCCCTGTCCGAACCTACCTGTCCTGTGTCGCGGCCGCGTCAGGGACGGCTTTCCGCTTTCATTTGGGAAGCTGTGACCTGAGAGACGTCTCACTAGCAGGGGACCACCTCCGTTTAGTTTCCGCTAACTCGTGGGATGCCTTGTCTTAGGGGATAACCCTCCGGGGTGTGGGGGCATCATGGGCAATACTGAGTCCAAAACTAATCCTAAGACACACACCCGAGCTGTCTCCTCCTAAATTCCTCCAAATTAAAATTTTCCCAACGCCTCCGTAAAAAAAGGCTAGTCTTTCTGTGTACCACCGAGTGGCCTCAACACCCCTTAGACAATCACTCTAGGTGTCCCTCCGAAAGCACTTTTAATTTTGGCAACCTCACTGACTTAAACAATTTTTGCCACCGCTCAGGAAAATGGTCAGAGGTTCCGAACGTACGTTCAGGTTTTCTGGCATCTCCGAGCCCGCCCGTCTCTATGCGTCCACTGTTCCACCTCACAGGTCCTTTTAGCTAAATCAACTGAAAGGAGCATGGCGGCGAAGTCAAAACTTGAAAATAACCCTAGCTCCCTACCAAACCCTGGCACCGTCCTCTGCGCTTACTGAAAATCCAGACACTCGGGCTCCCGCCTCGACCAATGATTCCTAATCCTCCTCCCCCAGCCTCTGCCGCCCTGTCACAGCCACTGCCCCCTCCCTCCCCATAGTCTTCCCCTTGGCTGCTGGACAGCCCAACCCTCCGCTCCGTCCGCTCCCTTCCCTCCTCCCTGTCGCGCATCCTCGTTCCCACCTCCTCCTCCTCAGGGAAGAAGCAGGGCCTTGAGGGTGTGCTACGGGCCCGCGCTCCGTTCTCTCCAAGACCTGTCCCAAATCGAAAAGGGTCGCGCTTCCGGCGGTGTCCGGTAAGCTCTCGCTGGCCCTCGAAGTCCGGGAAAGAGTTTAGATCTCGCGCCGGACCGTCCCCAAATCCAAGGTCTAGGTGAACAGCCTCTGGCATGTTGAGATGGAGGTGAGGAATGTTGGCAAGCTGAACCCGTAACTTCAGAGTAAGGGTTGGCTGTAAGGACTGGGGCACAAAGTGGGGCGTCGCGTCTAAAATCGCCTCCGCTGCCGCGTGCCCGTGGCAGATTCCTTGCCCTGCCTGCCGCCCACCGCATCCCCAGCCCCCACTGAAAAGGAAAAGAAGGAGCCGGCGGGAGCTGCCCGGGATGGAGCGCCCCGGCGTAAAAGAAAAAAGAACCGGATGCGGCTCCAGCCCCGCTTAAAACCGGTGTAGACCAGGAAAATCTGACCGTCTGATTAAAACAAAGCATCGCGGGGGGTGTTGACGCAATGTGATTTCTTCCCAGTCCTCTGAAATTCAAAAACGCGCGGGTAAACGGCCATAATAACTATAACTTTCTTAAAATAATCAACTTTGAAAAACCTAGAGGTAACACAGTGGAAGGATGAAAATCCTGCCCTTTTCCTAAACCGCCTCCAGGAGGCACGCAACCAGTTTACGAAACTGGACCCCAAAACCCCTGCTGGGGCAGCTGTTTTAGCCTTCCACTTTATCTCTCAGTCAGCTCCAGATGTAATACAAAATTTTAAAAAGCAGAAAAGGGACCACAAACCCCATTACAGGATCTGGTAAAAACGGCCTTTACAGTCTTGAACGCCCGGAAGGAAGCGGCTGAATCAGCCTGGCACAGTCCAGATTGCAACAGAAGGTGGCGCTGCCACGCTGGCTCTGGGAGCTGCCCTAATGCCAGCAGGGGAGGGGCCGAGAGATCCTTGCACAAAACGGGATGCAGCCCTGCCAGGGGCTTGTTTTAAGTGCGGTAAGGACGGGCATTGGGCCCGCCAATGCCCAAACCCTCAACCCCCCACCAAGCTGTGCCTGGTGTGCCGCCAGGAAGGGCACTTGAAGTCTGACTGTCGCTCGCTGGCGGGAGCCTCATCACAGCCCTTCCCGGCTGGTGAGCTTCTGGGACTTGCTGAAGACTGAAGATGCCTGCACTCGGTACCCCAATAACCCTAGCCGAGCCCAGAGTCACCATCCAGGTAGCGGTAAGTCCACCTCTGGTTTACTGGACACGGGGCTATTCCATCCTTCCTTCGTATGCCGGGCAGAGTCTCCCTTCCACGGCCACTGTAATGGGAATTGCTGGCCACTCCTCAGCACCCAATCAAACCCCTTCTTGCTCTGCGTCTTAAACCAATGCCCTTTCTCCCATCCATTCCTAATAATCCCCTCATGTCCTGTTCCATTGCTCGGACAAGACGTTTTACAATACCTTACAGCCTCCATTTCCCTAAGGCCTCAGCAGCCTCGCGCTGCCCTTTTTGGCAGCAATATTCAGAGCAATATTCAGCCTCCAAGAGACGTCCGCCAATTCCGTGAAAGCCTCCCCGGTGAGGACTGGACACCTGATTTTACGCACATGCCTAAACAGAAACATCTTAAATATCTGCTAACTTTGGTGAATACCTTTTCAGGGTGGATTAAAGCATTCCCTATCAGCCGGGAGACAGCACACGTTGTCCTTCAAATGTTATAGATTATAAAATCTATAATCCCTAGGTTTGGCCTTCCACACGCTATCCTGTCTGACCGTGGCCCAGCCTTCATTTCACAGGTGTCCCAACAGGTCTCATCCGCCCGGGAGTAAATTGGAAGCTACATATTCCTCATCACACCCCCGTTGTCAGTCAAGGTTAAGTGCGCCAAGGAACTTATAAAGTCCCAGTTAACCAAGCTCTCCTTAGCCGTCGGCCTCTCTTGGCCAGATCTCCTTCCTGTTGCCTTAACCCGCCTCCAGGCTTCCCCCAGGGAGCCCAGGGGTCTCAGCCCGTTTAAAATTCTAAACAGTCGTCCATTTGTCCTAAATTATTCTCTGCCTCAGAATGAAACTCTGCTTTCAGCTTGCTAACCATCTATCTTTGTTCCGCAATTTACTCAGTTCCTACGCAGACCAAAACCTTCCGGATGTAAAAAAAAAACCCATCTCTTCTGGGCACCCAACCCCTAACTTCTCCCCAGGAAACCAGGTCCTAGTGAAAACTGGCCGCGCACCTGGCCCTGGACTCAAGCCACTGTGAAAAAACATACACCGTAATACTCACCACCCCATCGGCCATCAAACTGGTGTTGGCTTCCGTAAACACGGAAATTCGGTCACCCAGTCACCAATGGCAGTTCATAGTTACCAAAACTTGGGCTGATGATTCGGGAACCCATTCGCAGGTTATAGGCAAAAGTATTGTCAGCCTGAAGGCTGCCAATCTCTGGTGTTGGTTCACTGCACTCCCCCAATGTGGTCCCACCCACTCCTTTGCTTCCTGTATGACCAAACCAAATCTAGCAGTTGTAGAACTAAATAGGTAAAGAAAATGGAGGTTGCCCATGGAATTCCTGCATGATGCATACATACCAAAGGGATCTGGAAGAAAAGCGGAAACAAAAGTATCGTCTCACCGGTACCTATCATAACGGTAATGTTTTGAGTCAACATCCCTGGCACATAGGACACTCACTGGCAAAAAGGTGTCTTACCCTTATCAATCTCTTTCTCTATATATATCCTCTATCTATCTATCTATCTATCTATCTATCTATCTATCTATCTATCTATCTATCTATCTATCTATCGTGCTTACGGACGTACTGGCTGGCCCACCAAACCCCGCTAATTCACAAAGCCCAACAAGAACTTCAAAAACAGGTTACAGGACAGAGGTCCAAAGAAAAATTTTTTTCTTGGCTCACCATTATCCAAGAAGGGGCAGCCCTTCTCTACAATTCCAATCTGGTTAATCTTTCCTCTTGTTTCCTTTGTGCTGCCCTCCATAGGTCTCCTCTGGCAGCAGTATCTTTACCTCAGCTGTTTAACTACATGGAAAAAGATGCCTTTAAGGTTCCCTTGTTCCACACCCCACTGCTAAAAAGTGCCCGTTTTGCTATTCCAACCTGGAACAAGGTTGTAAATAACAACACCGCAAGTAACCTCACTTTTCCCTTCAACACCCCCCAGGTGGATTCTTTTGGTGCAATAACACCCTGCCAAAAAAACCTTTCCATTCCTTCCCCATCCCATCTATGTATGCCGGTCACCCTGGTTCCCAGCTAACTGTGTACACAGTCCCTGAGGTAAACGCTCTGCAAAATCCCTTCCCTGGCACCACCAGACACACACGGCAGTGTTCCTCCCTGTCATG